ATCCTTGTTTGTTGTTTCAATTAAACTTAATTTTTCAAAATTTTAATAAAATGTAAAAACATTAACTTTTGGATAACTCCGCTGCGTTCCATGCACTCCAAAAATTATTTGAGCACAAAATACACACCTATGCAAATAAACATAGTTGCATATCAGTACAGTTTTCTAGCTAATGAATACGTGTATTTCATAATTTTGTGCCGTTCAAATAATTAACACCTAAATTACATCAATGAAATTAATTGTCCAATTTTATTATAAGAAAACAATTATTTAAATAAAAATAATAATTTTATAAATAAAGATCTTAGTTTTATAAAACACATATTAATTAAAAATATTTAATAAATTATATAATTATAGTGGTAAGGTTGCCTACGCCAACAATTATTATTATGCAAATTATGATTTATTTGATTTCATAGTTTATAATATGTTTACAGTTTTTAAAGGATTTGTGCTTGTATTTTACTTAATCATCATAAAGTTTACACATTAAAAATAGGCACCGGACGTCACGGGCCCACTGTTTGACGTCGCCAATTTCCCATATATTGTAAAATACATAAATGTGATATATAACTTTATCATAACATATAAAACTAACCATATTATGCCGAACAACTATATAAAATACATTTAACTGAATGCATATAGTGGGCCCGTGACGTCCGGGTCTAATAGTTGCTTTTAGTTTAATTGCCAGATATGACAATTGCAATAATAATTAATTAAATATTTTATATATAACTTTTATATATAACGTTAGCGCAATAATTCGGCCAATTCTTTTCGTTCATTTATAATTGCCATTAAATCAATGATATGTTTTTACCATAATACTATTATTAATTGACAGTTGATTAATTAGCATATTATTATTAGCATAGCACTAATACAAAATATGTTGCTAATAAAAAATCTTTAATGTTGATACAAAACAAAAATGTTTATTTAAATAATATTACGTAAAATTCTTATCAAATAAACTGTAATTTAATTCATTGATTCTTAATTTATTACGTTTTAAATGACTAAATACAATAATTGGAGCCTACAAACACCGCGTAATTTTTAATGTAATTGTTAAATTATTAGTAATTATAAGAAAATTCTATTAAATTTATTATGTTAATTTACAATACTAATTCACCTAGCAAGCAATTGAAATGTGCAAACTAATATAAATTAAAGTTAAATTTATTATTTGAAAATATACATCTTAACACAAACGTGACTAAAAATTTTTAAGAAATTAATGTTTATTAATGTTTTTTTTTTGTGCTAATTTTAATCGGCATATAATTTATTTCTACAAATACACAATTATGGTAGGAACTAATTTACATATCTCAAATGTATCAAATTTTAGCAAAGTGCTTTATTCAAAAGTTACATTTTAATACGTGTTTTGTATAATACATTTCTAACCCCTTTCACGCCTCCGGAGGTGAGTTTTAGGCAAAATAATAAATGCCTAATAATACCAGAAAATGGGAATTGAGGTTAAATCCATTTTTTATTATATGCTGTGCCATTGTTATGAACCCAATTAATTGTTTCATTAAAATTACAATACAAATTATAATTCACATACTTGATAAATGATTCATAACGTAATCAACTGAATGTTTGTATAACATTAACTATAGTAAAAACTGTACAAAACAATTGAATCTTAATTTTAAATACCAATATTTAATATAATTTTATAATGTTGGAGAATATGATATTATTGAAAATTAATTTTTGGAAAATGAACCTTCACTTCATGTCTGCCGCCAGCGGTATGACCGACACCGGGAAGTGTGGGGCGGACGGGCACATCATCCTTGAGAAATTGTATGCTGAAATGGGTTAGGGCTTTACCGGTGATTTTGGGGCAATTTTGTCCATTGGTTACTACCCGAGCGGCTGAACAATTTTGTCCATTGTTGACTGTATGACACAATGTAAGACGCCAGACACTTATACCTGTAATAAATAGTATATTAATTGTTAATATACAGAGTGTGCCACACATTCGACAAGCCGTAAACGCGTCTACACTCACAGTCCACAGTCTTCTTCCCCGACGTTAGAGATGTTGACGTATGAGTTGACTATACCATCGCTGGACACGTAGTCCCCTATACGGAGGCGCCAGTTGTCGGACACCGGCTGCCCGTCGACTGTCCACACGATCTGCGGTAGGGGTAGACCAGTGGCCGAGCACTTGAGCGATAGGGACTGACCCGGACTGAGCGGTTCCAGGGGTGGGAAGGTGTGGGTGAAGTGCGGGCCGTCCCATACGAGGCTCACTTCGGCCGATGCGGTACTGCTTTCCCATTCGTTGCTTGCAATACATTGCTATGCGTTGGGAAATTTGAGCAAGCTCATTGTTAGTGATTATAAAATTATAATAAGTAAATATTATTTTTGTTATATTGTGGTATATTATTAATATTTGTCGTCGGTTGTGTTTCCCATTAATTCATACTGATAGGAATAGTTAACTAATAAATATTGCTTTATTCTTTATCATTACAGTTTTATTTTCAAATAGAGCTAATAGTAATAAATTAAAATACACACACTTTGGCATTTATACAATTTACTTTCACCCGGTACCTATTAAATGTGAGAGAAAGAATGAGAGAGAGAGAGAGAGAGAGAGAGAGATTTTAAGCCTTAATTCGCGAATTCATTTCTAAACATAAGTCTTAAACACAATTCATTGAAACAATAGATTAAATTCAGAGAAAATCGGCACAAAATGTTTGCATAAAAATCTCATTTAAAATAAATATAAAGCGAAATAAAAGCTCATTTAAGCAATCGTTGTATACTTTATATACAAATTGTTTTGTATTTTTACTGACATTAAAATACTTTAACGTGAATTCATTTGGGATTTAATTATAAAAGTTTTTGATTTGCAAATTATTTTGATATAATATATACGTGTAGTGTATTTGAAAGTTACTCATAATTAAGTGCTGTTTAGATATTGTGACAATAATAGCCATATTTATATATTAAACAATTTACTCTTATATTAGGGTAAATTCATTTTATCTCAACTATATATCATGTATTAAATAGAGAAATATCAATAATACAAATACTTATCCCAACAAAAAAGTTATGTAATAAAATACAGTAAAAACTGCAACAATTGATACAATTTAATTTTTAAATATCAATGGATTATTTAGTAATATAATGTCGGATGTTTTTATATATACATTTAAATAAAAATGTTCTTTTTCAATAAGGTAAATTTTTTAAACAATTATGTATAAAAATAACAATATTACAAAAACTTATCCTAATAAAAAAAGTTAATAGTTGTAATAAAATACAGTAAAAACTGTAGAAATTAATACAATTTAATTTTTAAATATTAATGGGTTATAAAGTATTTTTATATTTTAGTTTAATCGTAAAGTTTGTGTTCTTAATTATACATTTTAAATGTAACATTTAAATAAAAGTTGCTCTTTTAATAAGGTAAATTTTTTGAAACAACTTTATATTTATAATATTTTCAACGTTTAATCATACTTACATGTAAATGTAAAAATTGGGACATGATTACAAAAGTTTTTTAATTTGCAAATTATTTTTGTATAATATATGCTTTAGTGTATTTGAAAGGACTCATAATTAAGTACTATTAAGTTAATGTAATAAAAATATTTGCAATATTTAATATACATTTTACTGTTATATTAGGGCAAATTTATTTTATCTTAATTATATACTGTATAATGCAGTAAATAAATAATTGAAAAGTATTGCAAATATACTGTATAAGACAATCAAACAAATGTTAATATTTGTGAAATATAATTAAAAACTGTAGAAATAAATCCCATCTTATTTATAGATATAAATGTTTTATAATATTGAGTGTTTGCCGTAAACAACTTTTAGCTTTTAATTTTAATTTACAAACTTTGTCGTTTAATGTATAAATTTTATCGCTATAAATATTTATCATAAGATAAAATATAACTTAAAATTTTTTTTATGATAAGGTCTTTAAATTATTGTACAACATTAATATTGTGAAATATATCACCAAATCACCTATTTAAGTCATCAATAATAACATGATCATTTAAAACGATACTTACATACATAGCCTGGTCCTGAGCGGTCACTTGTCTGATATGCAGAAAGTGTTCATTAAATAGTTTGATGCGATTATTATAGGCAATGGGTTTGCCGTTGCGTTTCCACACCACGTATACCACGGGTGCGCCCAAAACACTGCAGTTGAGCGAAACCGTATCGCCCACTCCTATCAGCACATGTC